GTTCGGGGCCGCATGTTGTACAGCTGGGGGACAAACKAACATGGAAGGGCATAAAACATGGTGYTGTGGCTRTGTRCAAGCAGCTGGACTGTCTGCAGGAGGCATAGGAGCGGATGTATCCGTTTGGGACAACGGAACYGCAACAACCTGTGGAGGAGGCACAGAGAAAATTGGGGTAGACAAAGAAGCAGGCCGCTGATCCCTGGCCAAGTGGCGATGTTGTGCATGTCGTCGACGATGATACACAATAAGAGTGGCGATGTTTCTAACAGAAGATGAGGATGTCACTGGCAATGAAGGCGGAACAATGGGAAGAATAGAAACCGGGTTCTCAAACGAGACCGTGGAGGAGATGGGGGTGGCGAGGAGGAACCCAGCCGTCTGCGGCCAAGCACAGAAAGGGATGAAAGGGGGGTGGATTGGGCAGGATGTCGGAACATAGGACGCGAGTGTCGGGCTGGGGTAGAGGAAGCTATACCAATAAAAACTATAGCATGAGAAATTCGAGCTACTGAAGCAGAGGAAGTGGTACAAAGTGGAACCGCAGCAGAGACCACTGTTGTAGCAAGAACCGCAGTGGTAAAAAGTGGAACCGCAGCAGAGACAACTGTTGTAGCAGGAACCGCAGCAGAGGCAACTTCCGTAGCACGGACCGCAGCGGAGGCAACTTCCGTAGCAGAAACTGCCGGAGTGAAACCCGAAGTTGAAACAGCAGCAGTAGAAACTGCAGCAGTGGAGACCACAGCGGTGGAAGCGGCGGCGGTGGGAACCGCAACAGTGGGAACTGCATTAGCAGCAGATGAACAAGCAGTGACAGGACGAGAACGATGTGGGGATAAAGAAGAAAGTGGGTGATGCAAGGACCATCGCAGCATGTGTCGGAACCACTGAGAGAGACGGGTGACGTGTGTAGGATAGCGACGTTGGCGGGAGCGTGTGTAGCAGGTCCATCCTTTAGCGAGGGTTGGTGGGGAATGGCCACGAGAAAGCATGCGATGAGTGAGTGTTGTCGCTGCAGTTCGGAAGTCCTGCCAATTATTGCAGATGCATTCAAATCTGGTCAATTGCCCAGTGAACACACTGGCCGGTTGATGGGAAGGGATGTTGGAGGTAGCACTTGGATAGCGAATAACAGGGAAATCCCAAGCAACCGCTTTATCAAACACACTCATGCGAAGCGAACCATCAGAACGTACCCGTAGATGCATACCTAAAAAGGTACACGAGCCATCTGTAGCCGTAGTTTCCTTCCACTCGAGCCCATAGTGCTCTGAAGGAGCAATACCAAGCTTACCAAAAAAAGGACAAACAACCATGCAGAACTTTTGTAACAGCATCTGTCATAAGAAACGATGGAGGAGCTGAGTTCACCATGAAACCAGCCAAATAGGCATACAGCTCCTGCGAARGAGGCAGGAGAGTCGTTAAGGAAGGGGGTGAGAAAAAGGAACAACATAAAAAGAAAGATGTAGGAGATAAGAGAAATATATATATATTCACATAACTATGAACTAAAAGAGAGCACTTTGCGAAACATATCTATGAACTAAAAGAGCGCACTTTGTGGAACAAAGTCTAACAAACAATAAAAATGAAAAAACAAGACCAACATGAGGGGCACACTGAAACCATTCATTTTTCTCATTCTTCTTGTAACTCCCCCTTCATCGTGCCTCTCGCGTACAAGGCTTGCCACGTTGATGAAGTTGAGCTAGAGCTGCCTGCATCCCCGCGTGCCATAGCGGCCCACTTGTATATATATGTCTACGGGTCCGTTGGGTCTGTTCTGATGGCTCGCTTCACATGCGCGTGTTTGATAAAACGGCCGCTTGGGATTTCCCTGTCATTCGTTATCCAAGTGCGACGCCTAACATCCCTTTCCGTCAACCGGTAGGTGTGTTCACTGGACAATTGACCAGATTTGAACAAACAATTGCCAGGACTTTGGAACTGCGAAAATAGCCCTTACTCTTCGCGTTCTTTCTCGTGGGCATTCCCCACCAACCCTTGCTAAGGGGTGGACCTGCTACATGTGCTCCCGGCAACGCCGCTATCCTACGCATGTGACGCGTCTCTCTCAGTGGTTCCAACGCATGCTGCAATGGTCCCTGCATCATCCACTTTCTTCTTTGCCACCACGTCGCTCTTTTCCTGCTCCTGCTTGCTCATCTGCTGTTACTGCTCATCTGCCAACGCGTCTCTCTCAGTGCTGCAGTTTCACTGCTGTGGTTTTGACTGCTGCAGTAGTTTCTGCTGCTGCAGTTTCCATTCCTGCGGTTTCCAGTGCTCCAGTTTCTACAGCTCTGGTTTTCACTCTGGCAGTTTCTGCTACTGCAGTTTCTGCTACACCTTCCTCTGCTGCAGTCTTCAGTACATCAGTTTCTATAGCTGAAATTCCCCGTACTACACTTTTTGCTGCTACAGC